TTGGTCTGAGTAGCGATGAAAGAGTGACTGTTTACCGCCTCATGTGAAAATAACCCTTTTCATTGAACGGCTCGCACAGTAGAAATGATTCTGTTGACATTTCTTTCCCAAGTTGAAAGTTTTATCACTCCATTTCCAGGACCCATTCTGTTTCAACACAATGAACAGTAAAAGGATCCGAATTTCGCTAGAGTTATCTCATCTTTAACGTAATTACCGTCAGAAAAGACCAAAGGTCACCTTCCGCACGTTTATCGGCACACGGCAGAGTTTGACGCTCTTCAGACACTAATTCTGTCGATTAAATTAATAACGATTTTTGTTATTTGATTATAAATGCATTTGGACGAGCCATGCATAACGATTTTGGCCAAGGAGTGTGCGAATTTGTGCGGAGAAATCTAATTATTTACAAACCCTAATGACGGGCTTCGCGTCCACAAAACATTTATAGGATGAAAATATAATGTGCTACCATTGATTTCATTCGAGGTATTTACTTTGTGATAAATGGACGATTTAATCTTTCTTTGCCGACAACATAATGCATTTAATTTCGTCTGTGCTGGTCACAGCGCCAAAGGAAACCCTGGCAGTAAGAATTAATCGCCGGAAGAAAGTTTGCTTTGAATTAATGCTTTTCTTTCGTTCCTTTGCGTGTGTGTGTTTTTATTTTTCTTCGCGCAGATAAACCTGATCAACTTTGAGGAAAACCCTCATCATTTGATGTCGTTCGTTTTCTTGATGTTGTTAAACTGTGCTTGGAAGCGTGACTTGGTGTACAATGACCGCCGTACTCCGACCCACTCGTTGGTTAACTCTCAGCGTCTATTTTCAATTTTCAATATTAAAATTGTAACCAGTTAAACATTTTGTGATAACTGTGACCATAGTAGACTGTGGATAGATGTGAGTAATTTGCTACCCCTACTGCTGCTGCTGCTGCCACCTCTTCATTTTAATACAACAGCTGCTACAACTACTACTGCCTCTACGATACTACTACAACAACTGCTACTTAGTGGTTAGCATGTTGGCCTCTAACGCCAAAGGCCCGAGTTCAAATCCCGGTGGAGACACCCAAAATGTGTGACCTGGGTCTCATACTGTGTTGTGTCCCTGGGCAAGGCACTTCGTCCACATTGCACTCAGTCCACCCAGCTGTTCAAATGCCACCTCTACGAGTACTACTACTAATACCTCTAGAATTACTACTACTACAACAACAACTACTGCCACCTCTACGACTAGTATTACTACTACTGCCACCTCTACGACTACTATTACTACTACTACTAATACCTCTAGGATTACTACTACTACAACAACTACTGCCACCTCTACGACTACTACTACCTCTATGATTACTACTACTACAACAACTACTGCCACCTCTACGACTAGTATTACTACTACTGCCACCTCAACGACTACTATTACTACTACTACTAATACCTCTAGGATTACTACTACTACAACAACTACTGCCACCTCTACGACTACTACTAATACCTCTAGGATTACTACTACTACAACAACTACTGCCACCTCTACGACTACTACTAATACCTCTAGGATTACTATTACTACAACAACTACTGACACCTCTACGACTACTATTAATACCTCTAGGATTACTATTACTACAACAACTACTGCCACCTCTACGACTGCTACTAATACCTCTAGGATTACTACTACTACAACAACTACTGTCACCTCTACGACTACTATTACTACTACTGACACCTCTACGACTACTATTACTACTACTACTACCTCTAGGATTACTACTACTACTACAACTACTGCCACCTCTACGACTACTATTACGACTACTACTAATACCTCTAGGATTACTACTACTACAACAACTACTGCCACCTCTACGACTACTACTAATACCTCTAGGATTACTGCTACTACAACAACTACTGCCACCTCTACGACTGCTACTAATACCTCTAGGATTACTACTACTACAACAACTACTGACACCTCTACGACTACTACTACTACCTCTAGGATTATTACTACTACAGCAACTACTGCCACCTCTACGACTAGTATTACTACTACTGCCACCTCTACGACTACTATTACGACTACTACTAATACCTCTAGGATTACTACTACTACAACAACTACTGCCACCTCTACGACTACTACTACTACCTCTAGGATTACTACTACTACAACAACTACTGCCACCTCTACGACTACTATTACTACTACTACTAATACCTCTAGGATTGCTACTACTACAACAACTACTGCCACCTCTACGACTACTATTACTACTACTAATACCTCTAGGATTACTACTACTACAACAACTACTGTCACCTCTACGACTACTATACTACTACTACTGACTACTACTACAACAACTACGACTACTATTACTACTACTACTACCTCTAGGATTACTACTACTACAACAACTACTGCCACCACAACGACTACTATTACTACTACTACTACTACCTCTAGGATTACTACTACTACAACAACTACTGCCACCTCTACGATTAGTATTACTACTACTGCCACCTCTACGACTACTATTACTACTACTGCCGACTCTACGACTACTATTACTACTACTGCCACCTCTACGACTACTATTACGACTACTACTACTACTGCCTCTACGACTACTATTACTACTACTGCCACCTCTACGACTACTATTACTACTACTGCCACTCTACGACTACTATTACTACTACTGCCACCTCTACGACTACTATTACTACTACTGCCACCTCTACGACTACTATTACTACTACTGCCACCTCTACGACTACTACTACTACTACTACCTCTACTGATTACTACTACTACTACTACTACCTCTACAACAACTACTACTACCTCTACGACTACTATTACTACTACTGCCACCTCTACGACTAGTATTACTACTACCTCTATGATTACTACTACTACAACAACTACTGACACCTCTACGACTACTATTACTACTACTGCCACCTCTACGACTAGTATTACTACTACTGCCACCTCTACGACTAGTATTACTACTACTACTAATACCTCTAGGAGTACTACTACAACAACTACTGACACCTCTACGAGTATTACTGCCACCTCTACGACTAGTTTTACTACTACTACCACCTCTACGACTACTACTACCACTGCTACCTCTTCTACTAGTACACCTACTGGCATTACTACTGCTAATACTACCCCTGCGAAGGCGTCATGATGAAGTCCGGGTTTGGATCCCCACATGGATACAATGTGTGAACCCATTCCTGGTGTCCCCCCGCCATGATATTGCTGAAAGCGGCGTAAAATCTAACTCACTACACCTCTGTCGAGTACTACTACTGATTTCTAACATATGTGAATGTTTATTAATGATCTATACGGTAACCTCATAAACCAAACCCCTTGAGAAAATATTAATAACTCCACATGTAGAATCTGAAACAGAACCTCATTCATACGAACATTGTTATCAGAGCTCCGGCTTGAAACAATAGCTCCTTCCACAGAATAATTGTATCGTAGATTGACACACCAATCAATAACTGTAGCTAATGTAATGATTATGCAAAGACAACGATTAAATACCCTCGAACTGGACTTTGGGATTTGCTAAAAACAATTAATTAAGTCAGTCAGGCATCTAGTGTGCACGTCTTTACAACGTCTTTACAATGTCTTTACCACATCATCACCGAGACAACGATTCAACCTGGCCTGGTAAAAAAGTGACTTCAAATCTTGATTTTTTTTCCCCCATTAAACTGATACCTATTCCGAGCTGTAAGCTCATTGATTAAATATAGGAGGCCGTTATTCTTAAAAGGAGGACAGTAATTAAACGATAGAGGGATTATTTAAATAAAAAAAATTCTGGTGTTGTCAGAGTGTTTGTGTTTAGCTTTAATAGATTTTGTCCCTGTAGGAAATGCCGTTATCTTTTTTAGCCTCTTTTAATGAAGCTGTAAAGTGCTTGGAAGTCAAAGAACACGTCGGTGCTAACGATTTTGGACGCGAGTGCACGAGAACATGGTAAGTTTCATGGTACTGTCTTGCCGTAGACGCATTTGAGTACGTGTTGCTAGGCAACCCATTGCTGTGAGCTTAGTATGATATATTGGCTTATCCTGGGTCTGACCAGGACCTAATCAGTCAGGGCCACGTGCACTTTAATTTAAGACTTTAGCATCCTTGCACATTGTCTATTTTGGACATGCCATCTCCGGTGTGACGTGGGCTGAAGATGGGAAAATGTGGGGTTGGGGAATGGGTGGATGGCAGGGAGACAAAGGGGGTGGCAGGACAAATGGAAATGCGGCATGAACCACAGGGAAGCGGGAAGATGCTGAGATGTGAGGGTGTGTGTATGCTTGGGGTGGGGTATAGGGTTGTTTGTGGCCGGAGGCGGTCACTGATCAAGAGAGACCAGTCAGCTTGTTGGGATTGCGTGGACTGTGGATCTTGGTTTGGAAGAGGGGTTGTAGTGTGAAAAAGGTGTGCAGAGTGAAGGGGGCTCTGTGTTAACTGTTAACCTGTTGGGATATGTGAGATATTTTGAACATTAGATGCTGGGGAGATGAGAAAGTAAAAGGATGACAGGGGCGCATACAGGATTTTGGAGAAAGGGGGGTTGGGGAGGAAAGAAAGAACTTTTTTCAGGGGAGAAGGGGGTGCGCGCCCCTCCCCGTTGGAGTGAGAATATTAGATGTTAAGATGATGGAATTATGGGACAATGAGCAGACAAGACGTGATGGGGTGAGGAGATGCGATGTGAAAGGAGTGAGCGATGTTTCAGCTATAACGGGACGATGAGTTACAGGATAAGAAGGTGAGAATATAAGACGGTGAGAGAATGGTACAGTCAGAGAATGAAACCGCGAGAAGAAGGTAGGATGAGAAGTGTAACTGTGATGATGGCCAGGTGAGAGGAGGAGATGAGCAGGTGAGAAGATGAGCCGGTGAGGAGATGAGTAGTGAGGAGATCAGCAGGTGAGTAGAGGGGCAGGCGAGTAGAGGAGCAGGTGAGCAGGTGAGAAGAGGAGCAGGTGAGTAGAGGGGCAGGTGAGTAGCGGAGCAGGTGAGTAGAAGAGCGGGTGAGTAGAGGAGCGGGTTAGTAGAGGAGCAGGTGAGTAGAGGAGCGGGTGAGTAGAGGAGCAGGTGGGTAGAGGAGCAGGTGAGTAGAGGAGCAGGTGAGTCGAGGAGCAGGTGAGTCGAGGAGCCGGTGAGTAGAGGAGCGGGTGAGTAGCCGGCAGGTGAGTAGAGGGCAGGTGAGTAGAGGAGCAGGAGCAGCAGGTGAGGGGAGCAGAGGAGCAGGTGAGTGCAGAGGTGAGTAGAGGAGCAGGTGGTGAGTAGAGGAGCAGCAGGTGAGTAGAGGAGCAGGTGAGTAGAGGAGCAGGTGAGTAGAGGAGCAGGTGAGTAGAGGAGCGGGTGAGTAGAGGAGCGGGTGAGTAGAGGAGCAGGTGAGCATATGAGGAAAAGAGCAGATGAGGAAAAGAGCATATGAGGGGATGAACAGGTGAGAAGAGGAGCAGCTGAGAATATGAGCAGGTAATGAGAGGAGCAGGTGAGAAGAGGAGAAATTGCGGAGATGAGCAGGTGAGAAGATGAGAGCATAGGATAAAGAAGTTAGGGTGAGAAATGATACGTTTAAAAGATGAGAAGATGCGGCAGCGAGGGGATGAGATGAAAACACGGCCATACACAGAGACACACACACCAGAGGAGGAAGGAAATACCGACTAATGAACCAGGCGCTATCACGTCATCCTTTCAGTCGGTCGGACAGTGCAGTAAACTATATTATGTACTGCTTGTCACTGATACCGTATAGAGGCTTTCATCCATCACGTGCTACTCTGTAATTAACACACAACACGTGACCTTTGCATTATCACGCAATACCGGGATACTTGGTGATTAAAAGCACCAATTATACCGAGTGATGTCTCACAGTGCTAATTATAGTAATGTACAACCCGTCTCGGCCATGTTTTGACGTATGGAAATGAACTGACCTTTCATTAGGGGTGATTAATAATTAACAGACTCAACCTGTCCTTTAATCAAACTTCAACTTGTGGAAACAAATTATCTAGATCAGTATCTTTATTTTCCAGACAATTGCATTTAGATGACATCTCAACTGCTAAGATAATTTTGAGATAACGGTGAATATTGTCAGTCAAGGCAAACCCTGACACCCCTGGTTACGACAATAGACGCGTCCGTTTCCTTCCATTATGTAAACAACAGAACCTCAATGCAATAGAACTGCCTTTCAATCAACTAATGAGACGAAATGATGCTTCTACCTTCCCCTTACACCTCGAAATTATAAAACATTAATCGAATGTAATGAATCGCCCCTACACATGACATCTGCAGTTGTTGATATATGCAATTACCAGCAGAATAAGGTCAAAGATGAAACGCTGACTACTACCGCGCATCTTTAATCATGACATGTGTAATATATAGAAATGTTATAAATAATTCGCTTTATTAGTTAATTTGTGCAGATTCGTCATTAAAATTATTAAATTCATATTTGTCGGAAACATATACCTGTTTAGAATCAATTGTAATCAACATGTTCTAAACAACACCATTTTGTTGTCGAGATCTCGTTGACCTTCCTGTTGTTTCTGGAGAGTAGAGTTATATCATCTTCATTCAAATCATTTAATTAATTTTTTTGGGAAACGTATTTATTTAGAATCCATTTTAATCAACATGTTCTGACTCAGACACAATTAGATTTCCTTGTTGAGATCTGGCTGACCTTTCTGCTGTTTCTGGAGAGAGGAACTGTATTGGTGTAAAGATAATAAAAGTAAGGGTTTTCAAGAAAAAGAAATTTGTTAATGTAACACTCTTAGAATTACTTGTCATGTTCTTTGCGCTCCGAGTTGCACATGGTGCAAATAGTTTAACATGAAAGAGACAAAAAAAAATTAAATATCAGATTTATAAGATTAGGCATGCCGGTAAGCTTCTGGCCGCAACAATTTAGCTTCGAGAAATGATTAGCGGAGATTTTGGTGCAGTTGGCTCCAGGAGAGCTACAAATTGAGAACAGTTCCTTGGATTACATGAGCACAGACATCCTTCAGTAAACTAAACTTTGTTTTGAAGGGCATCGTTGCCTCGCAAAGAATATTCAGCAGAAAATAAATCAACTTGAACTGGTAATTCACTACCATGGTAACAAATAAATGTATTGGGAGTGGAAGAATTAATACTTGTTTCGATGAAATGAGCTTCAGTTATTGATAAAATGTCTATAGCTGTTCGCATGGACACGGGTAGCTTGGCGCCGTTCAGATGCGTGTTGGGGTCAAAGAGGAAGTCGTTCATTTTCAAAATTATGTAATTGGAATATGAATGGCCATACATTTCAAAATTGCTATAATGTGTTAGGGAAACCATTATCGACATGTAATTTAAATCTATCTTAATTCTGATGTTGAGACATTAAGGAGATTTAGGGAACCTGTGACAGTCCATCATTAGACACCAGTAACTAGTCAAGTCAAGTGTGTTTATTCATGTTTTTAGGTCGTTGGTCCATATACATGTACATTTAATACATAATTCATACATGACATTTACAACAGTTACACATTCAATGAAAGTGATTTGTTAAGCCTTTGGGCTATGAAGCATATATTAACATACTTTGAGCATTAGTGTTTCATTGTCCGTCACCATAAGGAACTTAAACTTGAAGATATACTCCTAACAAAAAATTAAGCAACAAGTATTTTCAGTGGAATATCTTTATCAATCTCGATAGCGATTTTTGCCGGCATGTGACTGAAAGGTATATATTCAAAGAATACATCTTTAGTGACTGTCAAATTGATTTATCTGATAACATTGATAACATCCCCCGAACACAACCACCCTCAGAAACAACATGCAAAATGTGTCATGCATGTGCTCCACATTTCCCACAGGCAGTCTAATCGGTTAAAACCGACCTGTAATCATTCCTCTGGTACAACAAGCGGGTCCTTACTTCATTTTGATGGATGATAATGCCCGTCCATGGATGATAATGCCCGAGAAAGAGTTGTTAACGATGTTGTTTAGATCAACAACATCACACGTATGGAATGGCCTGCAAGGTCACCTGATCTTAATACCTCTGAACATGCTTGGAACATTATTGGAAATCGTGTTTACGGTCTCCATGTTCACCCCAGACTGGGTGAACTTGAACAGGCGTTACAGAGATAACGGCAGAACATTCCACAACAGCAACTTTAAAGGCTCATTTGGTCAATGCAAAGACGTGTAGGAGCTCGCATTCGTGTTCATGATGGTCATACGCGTTACTGAACTGTCAGAAGCAAAAACTCTGGCTGGTTCGTGCTTTTGATGATTTGTAAGTCTGTTATTGCTCCATACCATTTCATTTCATTTTGTTAATCGTGTGTACATATGTTTCACCTTTCTATTGCATCATTCCATTATTTGCAATTTCAATAAATGAAAATGTAATGAGACTAAAAATTTGTGTTGCTTGACTTTTTGTGAGGAGTATATTTGAATTATTACAAAAATACACTGGGAAATGTAATTTTCATAAGTCATTATAATGTTCACAGACATATTTTCCACGTCTAATTCACAAGGTGGACATATTCTTAGACAATAATCAACATTCGACCATCTGCCTTCATTTACTTTTAACCTTAACAAACCAGATCTTAATCTTCTTATTATTTCTTTACAGTTATAGCAGTTATGTATTTTTCTGGAGATAAAAGACTTTTGTACTCTTTATATAATCTACATCTTGTGCTATGTTGTAAAACACTATCTAGAAACGTTGAAGCTGTTCTCGTTGTTTTTGTTGTTGATGACGATGTTCTTGTTGTGTTAGTTATTAATGATGATGTTCTTGTTGTTTTAGTTGTTAATAATGATGTTCTTGTTGTTTTAATTGTTAATGATGATGTTCTTGTTGTTTTAGTTGTTAAAGATGATGTTCTTGTTGTTTTAGTTATTAATGATGATGTTCTTGTTTTTTTAGGTGTTTATGATGATGTTCTTGTTGTTTTAGGTTAATTATAAGTAATTTTATTAAAACACAAGTAAAATAAGTACTACACAGTCATGAGTGATGTGTTTTTTTAAATCAAACAAACTTTCAGTTGTTAAATATTAGATGGTGAATGAATATTCGGGTATCCTTGTAATTTGAATCTTGGTTGTGAAGCTATTGATAGTAGTTCAACATGAATGATGTTCTTGTGTTTTGTTGTTAATGATGATGTTCTTGTTGTGTTAGTTGTTAATGATGATGTTCTTGTTGTTTTAGTTGTTAATAATGATGTTCTTGTTGTTTTAGTTGTTAATGATGATGTTCTTGTTGTGTTAGTTATTAATGATGATGTTCTTGTTGTTTTAGTTGTTAATGATGATGTTCTTGTTGTTTTAGTTGTTAATGATGATGTTTTTGTTGTTTTAGTTGTTAATAATGATGTTCTTGTTGTTTTAGGTGTTTATGATGGTGTTCTTGTTGTGTTAGTTATTAATGATGATGTTCTTGTTGTTTTAGTTGTTAATGATGATGTTCTTGTTGTGTTAGTTGTTAATGATGATGTTCTTGTTGTTTTAGTTATTAATGATGATGTTCTTGTTGTTTTAGTTGTTAATGATGATGTTCTTGTTGTTTTAGTTATTAATAATGATGTTCTTGTTGTTTTAGATGTTAATGATGATGTTCTTGTTGTTTTAGTTATTAATGATGATGTTCTTGTTGTTTTAGTTGTTTATGATGATGTTCTTGTTGTTTTAGTTATTAATGATGATGTTCTTGTTGTTTTAGTTGTTAATGATGATGTTCTTGTTGTTTTAGTTGTTAATGATGATGTTCTTGTTGTTTTAGTTGTTAATAATGATGTTCTTGTTGTTTTAGTTGTTAATGATGATGTTCTTGTTGTTTTAGTTGTTAATGATGATGTTCTTGTTGTTTTAGTTGTTAATGATGATGTTCTTGTTGTTTTAGTTATTAATGATGATGTTCTTGTTGTTTTAGTTGTTAATGATGATGTTCTTGTTGTTTTAGTTATTAATGATGATGTTCCTTGTTGTTTTAGTTGTTTAATGATGATGTTCTTGTTGTTTTAGTTATTAATGATGATGTTCTTGTTGTTTTAGTTGTTAATGATGATGTTCTTGTTGTTTTAGTTGTTAATGATGATGTTCTTGTTGTTTTAGTTGTTAATGATGATGTTCTTGTTGTTTTAGTTGTTAATGATGATGTTCTTGTTGTTTTAGTTATTAATGATGATGTTCTTGTTGTTTTAGTTATTAATGATGATGTTCTTGTTGTTTTAGTTGTTAATGATGATGTTCTTGTTGTTTTAGTTATTAATGATGATGTTCTTGTTGTTTTAGTTGTTTATGATGATGTTCTTGTTGTTTTAGTTGTTAATGATGATGTTCTTGTTGTTTTAGTTATTAATGATGATGTTCTTGTTGTTTTCATTGTTAATGATGATGTCCTTGTTGTTTTAGTTGTTAAAGATGATGTTCTTGTTGTTTTAGTTGTTAATAATGATGTTCTTGTTGTTTTAGATGTTAATGATGATGTTCTTGTTGTTTTAGTTGTTAATGATGATGTTCTTGTTGTTTTAGTTGTTAATAATGATGTTCTTGTTGTTTTAGGTGTTGATGATGATGTTCTTGTTGTAACTGAGACCTCACGCCGAACTTAACAGGTTTTGCAGCTAAAGGAGGTCTGCATGTAAATGATCAAATAATCATGTCCACGATCAAAGGCTATCAAAGGCTATATTGTGAGCACCAATCAGCACACACAGTCTGATTACGATGACGCACAATCTTCTAACTCACTACCCAATACACCAAGTCGACCGGCGGACACAGGACCTATTCTATTCGGGAACCTAACGTCTATCGCCAAGTACAAGAGAGGAGATTAATGCTTTGTTCTACTGAGCTTGACAACGCCATAAATATGTAAAAACGTCGTCGAATGTAACGTTATAGACACTGAACAATGTCATACAATTTGTCAACTTACTTCAATTTTTAATCAGTAATGATACAAATAGGAGTTAGTGAGTGAGTATGGTTTGACGCCGCTTTTTAGCAATATTCCAGCAATATCACGGCGAGGGACACCAGAAATGGGCTTCACACATTGTACCCATGTGGGGAATCGAACCCGGGTCTTCGGCGTGAAGAGCGAACGCTTTAACCACTAGGCTACCCCACCGCCCCGATACAAATAGGAATATTTCGTTAATTATGAGTAATGTTATTAAAACACAAGTAAAATAAGTACTACACAGTCATGAGTGATGTGTTTTTTTAAATCAAACAAACTTTCAGTGGTTAAATATTAGATGGTGAATGAATATTCGGGTATCCTTGTAATTTGAATCTTGGATGTGAAGCTATTGATGGTAGT